ACTTCACATAATACAACAATTATAAGTGCAGAACAAATCCCTAAGGTTTTGTTTGTGTTCATCAGGATGTGCATTTTATGCATACTCACTTCCAGTTAGCGAGTGCGCAATTGGTTGTCATATCCAAAAGGGAGAGAATAGCAGGATGTACTAAAAAATAGGGTCAATAATTCCACTTAAATTTAAAACTTTAAGTAATAATCTTGATATGTCTTTACCAGTTTGAGGTGAAAACCATAATTTCAACCAAACTAAAATAACAGAATAAAGATTGATTGACTGATAGCTTCACATTAATATCAAGCACAAATAAATTTAATTCAAATATCAAGACTTTTAAGTTTGGAGGTCTCAATTCTTGGACATCTGCACACCTCTTTTCAGTATTCTACATTTTTTTTTTATTTCACATTTGAATTTATTGACCAATTGATATATTTTGAAAGAACTATGCATTGCAATGACAGAATATAGTTTGTATTTAAAACAATAAAAGGTAGTACCACATCTCCTCGGCCAATTAGATTAACTTCTCTTTTTTTTTTTTTTTTTTTTTTTTTTTTTGTGTGGATAACTCACACTACAACATGGAGTCGACAAGGTAAGCACCAGTTCAATGATCCGTTGACCCAAAAAATTATCATCAACTGAAAGTGCTCTCATGGCAATTGTCGAGCACTGTGCAGCTAATTTAGGTCACACGATTGATCATCTCAAGTAATAAAACAGAGAAAATCTGCTCATTTTCAACTATGATCACAGGAAATTGGGGTGATGGAATTGAAAGCAAAAAGCCCACTTAACCTTATTGTGAGTGAGCCACGAATCAAGACAACTCGACTAATTCCTAATTAAAGATCTGTAGATACAGAACAATCGTCAACCATTGGACTTATCCTCAATGCTGGATGACTCCTTCAAAATATGGATTAAATTGTTATTAACTCCAATTCTAAGTCCCCAATCTTCCTTGTATCAGAAAACTTTCCATGACATAATTTCCTCAGCTAGCCCCAATCTTCCTTGCCATCAAAACAATAATACGGTGCAACACAGAAACAAAACTGCAAGAGCTGAAACAACCTGACAATTACGGGCTATTCTTGCATTATCCTCCCGGTGCCAACGTTCAACAATCCAAATGACTCAAACAAAAAGTGAACAACCATACCTTCAAGAACCAGTCCTAATTCTATCAACAGGTTCCCAACAATAATTCAACCCCATAAAAGGAAGATTTTAAATTAGAGAAACATGTTCATAAATATTAAAGAGTCTTGACGTTCAAACTTAAAATGGTGAATTGCTTGTTTGAGCCAATACCACATCGAGTCTTGATCTCCATTAAGAGGAGTAAATATATATTGATTATAGATAATTACCCTTAACAATACGCAAAAAGTAAAAGCAAAGCAACAACAAGAAACTTACTTTTAGACCCAACTTTGGTAAGTTTACCATCAACAACAAGGGCATCAGAATCATTAGTCCCTGTGGAGAGCCCACGAGCAGAGAAGAAAGAAAGTAGAGACTTCCACGTAACAGAAGAAGCTATAAGATCAACCCCTCTGCTTATAAAGTGACCGTTAAGCTTGATTGTTGCAGGGTCGAGCCCGAAAGCTCGAGCAATAGAACCTAGGTCCAGTTTCTGCTCATCCCTTGCAATTACATGGATTATCTTTGATAAAGATGGGCAGAAGAGCTTTATTGTTCTCTTTCTTTCCACTCCAACTTCACTCATCTTTGTTTTGTAATGCAAATAAACAAACCCAAAACCCAGTTTCACTCTTTCTGGGGAAAACTTTGATGGATCAATTAATGCTGAAAGTACTGCGACGATTGTTGTGTTGTTTTGTAGGGACGAGACTATCCTTCTTTTCAAACTAAACGTAATTTCTGGAAGTGTCTTCAAAATAATGGCGGTTAGGTCTGGATCGGCCCAACCTAACATATTTCACAGTCCGGTCTTTAGATTTGAAAAGATACGGTTTGGGCCGAACTGGACCCGAACTTTGATCTGGTAGTATATCCACATTCCATACCCGCATTACATTTTCGTTTCTTTCAGAAAACACAAATAAATTCGACATTTCTGCAAATTAATTTTAAAAATCCAAAACCCACTTTTTGGCCCTCTCCGTTTCCTCAATATCTCTCTACAGTTCCTTGCATTTTGTAGACAAATATTACGTACACAACAATTGGGGTAAGGGTTAGGGTTTGGGTTTGGGTTTGGGTTTGGTGGTGCGAATTTTAGTGATTATTAATTTATTACGCGATGTATGCTGATCGAGTGGAGGCGGAGGCCCAGTCTAGTAGGTCGATTAAGGAGAGGCTTAATGGAAGTTCAGCCGCTGATTCTGGTAGACGGAGACCTGTCTCCGGCAAGAGGTCATCCCTTTTTATTTATCAACATGCTCGTTTATGTCTCTGAACTAATAAATTAACTTTTGTCTCGTATTGTTTTATTATTTGAATTGATTTGTTTATAAATTTTTGAGGAATGGCTTAGCTTTTTCTTCCGTCATAAGATTAGTTGAGAGAAATTTATTTTGTATTGATGAAGTTTTGTTTAGTTCTATAGTTATCTACCTGTGAAATAGCCGGAAAGTTCTATTTTGGGATGTTTACAGATACTAATGGGAAGAAGAAACAGTATTGCCATTAAATATTTGTGCACTCCCAAGGCCTGGTAAAAATGTAGGATTGAAATACATAGTTTCTAATAGTCAGAACTTAGAATCGAAAAAAGAACTCTAATAATCATTTTTTGTGCACTTCATAGGACATCGACTCCTGATAATAATTTGACGTGTATACAATTCAGTGCACTCACTATGGAAAGGGAGTGCTGAATTAATTAAGTTAAAAATCTGTTCAACTAGCTGATAAACCAGAGAACCTTCTCTTGGGAGTGGTATTTAAAAGATCTGGGAGCCTCCTTTTTTTTTTTTTGGGGATAAAAAAACTCTTTTATTTAGCGAACTTAATTCTTGTGCAGGCGAAGAGAAGATGATGATAAATGGGAACATGATCTTTTTGAGGAGAATGAACCTCAAGTTTCAAGTATACAATGTTTATGTTGTTTTATCTTGCAAGAAATATTTCGTTGCTCTGTTTACTTATGTTATGTGCCTTTTATATTAAATTAATAGCCTGTTTAGACCGCAGAATTGGTGCGAAAGATCTTCGTTTGAAGCTTCAAAGAAAGAGCATTGAGCAAGCTTCCCAAACAAGGGGCTCGGTTTCAGGAGGTATGAGGGATCTGCGTGAGAAACTCTCGGGTTCATTATATTCTCGTCCAGGGGAAACTAAGCCTTCACAGCCAAGGTCGAAGCCAGCTCTTGAAGTCAGTAAACCTACTAGGAAAAGTGTTGTAGCTGAAGCCACGGTGCCAGACAGCAGAAGAGTTACTGGCCCAGTTTCTGATAAAAAGAATCAGCTGAAGGCAGGATTGATACGATGTCTTCTCATATCATAAATTTTATGATTTTCCCCCTCTCTTTTGATGTTTTTATTTATTTATTTATTTATTTATTTATTTTGGGGGGGGGGGGGGTGCTTGCATACTGGATTGCACCTGAGCAACTCTGTCATTTGAAGTTATTTATTCACTACTAAAGGTAATGTCTTCAATGCAGGCAGAATCAGTGGATAGTTTTCTGGAGTCCCTTGGTCTTGAGAAATATTCAATTACTTTCCAGGCTGAAGAGGTATGCAAATCCATTGTTTCAGTTTATGTATATTTGGGAAACTAAAGTCATTAAAGTTACTTATTTATACACTTTTGCTGTTTTTCACAGGTTGACATGATAACCCTAGTACATATGGGTGATGAAGACCTTAAAGCTTTGGGAATACCAATGGTGAGCGTTTAGACACTCCAATTATATTAATTTGTCTTTATTAACACTTGGCGTCACGACTAAGTTTGTTGCTTTTGTTTAGAATGATTTATTCCTTTTAATTGCGCAATGTTTGTTTTGCTTCTTCTCATTCATTTTCTTAGATGAAATATGCATTTGGCAATTTTACTTTTACCTCTATTTCCGAGCGTATCACTGCTAAGGTCTTGATGGCTAATGCGAAAAGATTGGTCACTCTTCAGCTATTTCCAAAAATTAATCTCTCCCTTCGCTTTCTTGTAGAAAAATCTTTTTGATTGTTCGCCCACTGTCTTATTATATTTATACCATCCTTTCATTTTCTTCTGTTCTGATAAAGCTATGTTCTGCTGCTGACCATCTTCATTTGCTGAAAACTGAGTGGGAAGAGGTCGAATTTTGGACTAGGAAAATCAGGTGAAGGGAGATTTGATACCCTGGTTGGGTGGTTTCATTGGAAAGTGAACTGTCAAAGAAATTCTTTGGAAGGTTTTTGAGTCAAAGGGATCTTATATGAACTAGAATCATTAAGTCTCCATTTGGCAAACTTATAATGGTTTATAAAGGGGAAGAGTAGTGGGTTCCATGAAATGTGCGGATAATAAGGATAGGTAATTATGAATGTGGTTGAAATTAATGTTTGAGTTTCATTTATAAATTCGTATCCAAGTGGAGGCTAAATGAACAAGATATAAACTGGCTTGAGCTTCGTTGTCTAGTTAAGTAATGACCTTAGTTTGAGCCTTGAGGGTGTACGACTCTACACAATCATTGTTTATGAATAGTTTGGATTTAATGGATCTCCTAGGGAGTCTGTTATCTTCTCTTTTCACTTTGGGATTTATTGTCATGCTTGCCCGTTGTTGCACTTGTACATTTTTTGGCTGAGCTGCATAACAATTTAATTAACACTTGCATTCCTAGCAGCTATAGTCTATTTTCCCAATAATAATTTAAGTAAGAATGTGTGAAGGATTCTCGTAAATCTAAGTATGTAACCATGTTCGTTATACATGTGATTTCTTTTCAAGTAATAGTTGACTTACTTCTCTGTTTATCTTGAGTTATGGATGAGTATTTGGTTCAAAATGATCTTAAATGTGCTTAAGAAAATTAGTGAGGAGCACACATTTGATATTATGTCATTATTTTAGTTATTTTTTTCTTTTTAATTGTTAATCTCCCTTTTTAACTAAAATAAGTAACTCTGTTATTAATTATAAAATAACAACTGAACCAACATACGAACCATTGATATTGACGAAGTCAATTTTCTACAACCAAATTTTGCATGTTAAACATGGATTTGCAATCAATCTATATAGCTAGAAAATATTAATGAAACCAGAATAATACTAGTAATCCTAATAAGAATAATAACATAGCAATGATAATAAGCCTGGCGAGGATTCCTAGTAATCTTAATCTTTGGTGTTCCTTGCCAATTGAAATATCTGATGCTAGCCAGAGTAAGAATGACTGAACTTGGAATTATGTTCAAAACGGGCAAGATAGTTGAGAGCTTTTTATTGAATAGCACTCTTCTTCAACGAGCAAGTGACCTATATTTATGGAGCTACTTTTGCATGACGTGCGTGTTTCTCATTACATAAGCAAAAATAGTATAATATTTCAGAGCTGATCTAGACAGTGTTTACTGACCTCTATGGCATACTTATATGGCATCAGTTGGTTTTATGTCAAGAAGTCATTTCCATTTCCATGCATTGCTAAGTTTATTGTAAACTATTAATCTAATCTCATGGGTTGCTTCTATGGTTTCAGGGTCCAAGAAAGAAGATACTTCTAGCACTGGAGTCGAAAGTCTGATGTCTGAGTGGGATAAGGTTTTTTGGTGTACTTGGTTCTCATTGATCATCTGTCTCTCTGATTACCAGTCCATCTTTAAATGCAACGAGTCTGGTATCTGGGGCAATTTTCAGTTTATTGTCAATATCAAGTGGCCAGAATGATCAATGTATTTGCGACATAGAAGATTAACTCATTGGAGAATGTTAGGATATTAGTGAATTTGTTGCTTTATTTTGTTAGATTGGTTTCTTGGTCATTCGACATCTGTGTTCCATTTGGATCTATAAACTTGGAGTTGTGCCTTTTCCATTTCTTTCTGAGCTCGACTGAAAAAAATAAATAAATAATAATAATAATAATAATAATAATAATAATAATAATAATAATAATAATAATAATAATGATAATATTTAATAATAATAAAAACCACTGAACTTGACTCTCGTAAAGGTCAAACGTGTGTCAAATTCATTTCTTTAAGTAGTCTTGTTTGGGAATGAGTTTTACTGAATGAGATTCTTGCATCAATTATGCTACACATCCAGATTCAAAAATAGGTGGGACGCATATTGACTCGTGATTGGATAGTTTGAAAAATTAAAACAAAAAACATCAATCATCTGTTGCCAAATTAGTCTCTCTCTCCTCTGATTTTAAGCTTGATTAAGTGGTTTTATTCTTCTTGGATTTAAATGAAGTTTAAGCTTTAGATTCATGAGGAAGGTGACGACCCTCTTTTTCATTACGTATTTCATGGTACTCTTTTTAGTGTGATATTTTAGTTATTAATGTGCACATCAAATTTATAAACGGAATTTCAATCATAGCATAGTGAAACTTTTGAAACTCAATTTTGTAAACGAAAGTTCACGGTGCGGTTCAAGTTTGTATCTCGACCGGATAAATAAGCTTTGATCTGTTTGCGGGATCATATTCATAGGAAAGAGGAGGCTGTGTTAAGGGCATGTTTGTTCACAAATAGAAGCTTGCTTTACGGTGTCAGTCTGAATTCTTTATAAGCACAAGTAACCAATTCATCTGGATTCGGTCATGGATAAAAAACGAGGACTCGGTTGGCAGAATTTTTGAAAAATCAAAAGTTTCTTTTGAACATATTTGTATAATTTTTTGAAATTAATTTATTTGATTCGAAAAGTTTTAGAGAAGCACCTAATATAACTTTTTCCAGCCGTCTTGCAATTTTTATTTGAGTTTTGCATTTTGAAACCTGAAAATTAAATTGATCCATACTACTTGTGGATTTTCCCATTTTATTTTGACTCGTGTAATGCGCAATCGAAGCATGCTTAATCTAACTTGGGAAAGCCGTGCTGTGCCCGGCTTGACTATTGAGGGAAAAAAACGAGAGAGAAAAAAAATGCCAAAAAGATTCTCTATATGTCACTCCAGCAAAAGTCGAAAGTTCTTCAAACAAAATCTATCCATTCTGAGAAATAAAAGAAAATCGTCAGAGAACTTTTTCGTCAACATAACTAAATCGCCTCGTCAGTTGAAAAAACCAAAACAGATATCCTAAAGTCGGGTTCGAGAAACAAAATGATGACAGCAATTTTCGATAAACTGTAATAATATTAATCGATCCTGCTAAATCCTGCTGTTCAAATCCCTTCTGCGTTAACGCTGAAACATCAAGACATTGTGTTGGCTGATCGTGATCATTGATCATTATAGTCGCCCATTACCAAAACAATTTTCAAAATTTCTGACAGTTTGATTCCTTCAAGTATCTCAACTCCGAAAACCATGAGCTTGGTTCTGAAGATTCTGGTTATCTTCTAATAAACGATCATACTCGAGAAGCAGATCTGCAGCTTGTTTCTGGAGAGCAACGACATGAGCTTCAGCAGTTCCCACCTTCTTGTCTTTTTCTGCAGACTCCGCCTTTAGCTTATTCAAATTCTCCATCAAACTAGAAATTTCTTTCTGTAATCGTTTTACTTCTTCAGCAGCTCTCTCTTCCTTTTCCTTCAGTTGTAACTTTTCTTTCTCAAGCCTCTCGACTTCTTGTTTCGAGTCTCCAGAATCACTTCTAAATTTGTTCAATTTCCACATATAATGGTGCATTCGATCAATTAAGAACGCAAGGAAGAGAGAGAACCCTACAAGATCAAGTTCAAACGGTTCAGGAAGTCGGCCCAACCCCACAAAAAAGTAAAGATTTAGGTCGTTGGACTAGCTGATGATGCAATAATAACAATGAGTAGACAATAACTGGTTTGACTAGCAAATGATGCAATAGCAATGAACAGAGAGTAATTTATAATAAATGATAAGAAATCACACACTTTTAACATTCCGTATACACAAGGACATAGCAGAAATGAGCACAGAGATATGCGGTTGGGACGTTTTTTTGTGTAAACCTATTAATTTTTTGAGCCAAAAAATCACTCCGAAACAGGCGGTAAAAATTTGATAAAAACCAATGGTCAGGCCATATCGGGTAAAAATGTAGAATTGAAAAGTTTCTAGTCGAACTAAACAAGATCGGTAGTTTACAACAGCAATTGTCTTCTGCTCTTCTTCTAGGCTCATTTCATACACAGCCTAACATTGATTAATGCTAATGTGAACTGCATCATCCTAAGGTGCATTTGGTTTTTACTCTGTACATACGAGTGGAAAGACAGGCTCCTAAAGTACATCGGAGAAATGCCCATAAACAGTTATCATAACTTCTTGAAAGGAACAACGATTGCCTCGTCATGGCTCATTCTTTTCATGTTTTTATTGATGTAACTGCACGAAAATTTGCTGTTCGGTAATGTTGTTGAAAGGCTACCTTCTGTTGCCTGGAACCCTTCAAAACATTACGATCAAATTTAAATATACATATAGGCTAGTGAAGACCACTGCCTCGGAAGAGAAGGGAGGAGGAAGTGTTCGACGGAGAAAAGTGAGCAAGAAAAATCTAAAAAGTATGTACGCAGCTTAACTGTTACCTGAAATAGTTACATTCAATCTCGATCTCTTTATAAGATTAGCATCATCTATACCCAATTTTCTCTTCACACCCATGGCATTAGTTTGATTTATCGCATGTACTGATCCTAAAAAGACATGAAACAATGTTAGATGGACCATAGCCTGCCTTGCATCAAACTGAATGGAAAGCAAAAGCAAACTCATGCGGGCCTTTCATCAAAGCACGATACTCTTATTAAAATCATGCCATTTATGCATTCAAAAAAATAATAATAATGGACGGGTTAGCTTGACCCAAAAATCAAATAAAAAGAGACAGGTCAATGATTGGAATTCAGCATTGCTCAACCCCAAAAAATTAAAAATAAATAAAACAAACCTGAATTCGTCCCCCTGAACCGTTTGTTACCGAGCCAGGTGTTACATTCAAGCTCTTGCTTTTTCTTGATTCCATCATAGCAGCATTCCTCAGCATTAGCCGTCCTTGTATTTCCAGAATCTGTTGGGTCATGTACTCCTGAGGAACCAAATCCATATGAGAAGGAAAGCACAGAAACCAAAGTAGAACCCACACTAAACACTAGCATAAAACTAAAATATGCAGCATTTATGAGTGAAGTTTCTATTTCCAGTGACAAACTCAGCTTCCTAACTGAACTGCAAAATGTGAAAGAGTCCAACAGATTCAAAATTCACAATGAGGCATCATATGGAACAATTTTCTGAATTCAAAATCTGACGTTAATGAGCATTCTGTTTGTCCATAATATCCTGATAAATGCGCCTTTTTTCTATTTTATTGATACGTGATGCTAGAAAAGGTTTCCATTTAGTCGTCGTCGCAGTATCTAAACAGGTGCAGCCACTGTCATTTAGCTTCAATTATTACATACCGACTCGGTCATTATTTTATCGCAAGTTTTGTACTCGTCTGGGCAGCCATTTTCTAGTGTCCTACATCTAAAAATGTATGTTTTTTGCGAGAAAAAGAACCAAGTAATTTCAGAGCATGCAGAAAGTTAAATTTGTATTCTGTTAATTTATCCTTTTTTCATATCAACAACTAGAAAATCTAAAAAGGATCTTTGGCGGAGCACTTCACATAATACAACAATTATAAGTGCAGAACAAATCCCTAAGGTTTTGTTTGTGTTCATCAGGATGTGCATTTTATGCATTCTCACTTCCAGTTAGCGAGTGCGCAATTGGTTGTCATATCCAAAAGGGAGAGAATAGCAGGATGTACTAAAAAATAGGGTCAATAATTCCACTTAAATTTAAAACTTTAAGTAATAATCTTGATATATCTTTACCAGTTTAAGGTGAAAACCATAATTTCAACCAAACTAAAATAACAGAATAAAGATTGATTGACTGATAGCTTCACATTAATATCAAGCACAAATAAATTTAATTCAAATATCAAGACTTTTAAGTTTGGAGGTCTCAATTCTTGGACATTTGCACACCTCTTTTCAGTATTCTACATTTTTTTTTTATTTCACATTTGAATTTATTGACCAATTGATATATTTTGAAAGAACTACGCATTGCAATGACAGAATATAGTTTGTATTTAAAACAATAAAAGGTAGTGCCACATCTCCTCGGCCAATTAGATTAACTTCTTTTTTTTTTTTTTTTTGGTGGATAACTCACACTACAACATGGAGTCGACAAGGTAAGCACCAGCAGTTCAATGATCTGTTGACCAAAAAAATCCTCATCAACTGAAAGTGCTCTCATGGCAATTGTCGAGCACTGTGCAGCTAATTTAGGTCACACCATTGATCATCTCAAGTAATAGAACAGAGAAAATCTGCTCATTTTCAACTATGATCACAGGAAATTGGGGCGATGGAATTGAAAGCAAAAAGCCCACTTAACCTTATTGTGAGTGAGCAACGAATCAAGACAACTCGACTAATTCCTAATTAAAGATCTGTAGATACAGAACAATCGTCAACCATTGGACTTATCCTCAATGCTGGATGACTCCTTCAAAATATGGATTAAATTGTTATTAACTCCAATTCTAAGTCGCCATTCTTCCTTGTATCAGGAAACTTTCCATGACATAATTTCCTCAGCTAGCCCCAATCTTCCATGCCATCAAAACAATAATACGGTGCAACACAGAAACAAAACTGCAAGAGCTGAAACAACCTGACAATTACGGGCTATTCTTGCATTATCCTCCCGGTGCCAACGTTCAACAATCCAAATGACTCAAACAAAAAGTGAACAACCATACCTTCAAGAACCAGTCCTAATTCTATCAACAGGTTCCCAACTATAATTCAACCCCATAAAAGGAAGATTTTAAATTAGAGAAACATGTTCATAAATATTAAAGAGTCTTGACGTTCAAACTTAAAATGGTGAATTGCTTGTTTGAGCCAATACCAAATCGAGTCTTGATCTCCATTGAGAGGAGTAAATATATATTAATTATAGATAATTACCCTTAACAATACGCAAAAAGTAAAAGCAAAGCAACAACAAGAAACTTACTTTTAGACCCAATTTTGGTAAGTTTACCATCAACAACAAGGGCATCAGAATCATTAGTCCCTGTGGAGAGCCCACGAGCAGAGAAGAAAGAAAGTAGAGACTTCCACGTAACGGAAGAAGCTATAAGATCAACCCCTCTGCTTATAAAGTGACCGTTAAGCTTGATTGTTGCAGGGTCGAGCCCGAAAGCTCGAGCAATAGAACCTAGGTCCAGTTTCTGCTCATCACTTGCAATCACATGGATTATCTTTGATAAAGATGGGCAGAAGAGCTTTACTGTTCTCTTTCTTTCCACTCCAACTTCACTCATCTTTGTTTTGTAATGCAAATAAACAAACCCAAAACCCAGTTTCACTCTTTCTGGGGAAAACTTTGATGGATCAATTAATGCTGTAAGTACTGCGACGATTGTTGTGTTGTTTTGTAGGGACGAGACTATCCTTTTTTTCAAACTTGACGTAATTTCTGGAAGTGTCTTCAAAATACTAGCGGTTAGGTCTGGATCGGCCCAACCTAACATATTTCACAGTCCGGTCTTTAGATTTGAAAAGATACGGTTTGGGCCGAACTGGACCCGAACTTTGATCTGGTAGTATATCCACATTCCATACCCGCATTACATTTTTGTTTCTTTCAGAAAACACAAATAAATTCGACATTTCTGCAAATTAATTTTAAAAATCCAAAACCCACTTTTTGGCCCTCTCCGTTTCCCAATATCTCTCTACAGTTCCTTGCATTTTGTAGACAAATATTACGTACACAACAATTGGGGTAAGGGTTAGGGTTTGGGTTTGGTGGTGCGAATTTTAGTGATTATTAATTTATTACGCGATGTATGCTGATCGAGTGGAGGCGGAGGCCCAGTCTAGTAGGTCGATTAAGGAGAGGCTTAACGGAAATTCAGCCGCTGATTCTGGTAGACGGAGACCTGTCTCCGGCAAGAGGTCATCCCTTTTTATTTATCAACATGCTCGTTTATGTCTCTGAACTAATAAATTAACTTTTGTCTCGTATTGTTTTATTATTTGAATTGATTTGTTTATAAATTTTTGAGGAATGGCTTTGCTTTTTCTTCCGTCATAAGATTAGTTGAGAGAAATTTATTTTGTATTGATGAAGTTTTGTTTAGTTCTATAGTTACCTACCTGGGAAATAGCCGGAAAGTTCTATTTTGGGATGTTTACAGATACTAATGGGAAGAAGAAACAGTATTGCCATTAAATATTTGTGCACTCCCAAGGCCTGGTAAAAATGTAAGATTGAAATACATAGTTTCTAATATTCAGAACTTAGAATCGAAAAAAGAACTCTAATAATCATTTTATGTGCACTTCATAGGACATCGACTCCTGATAATAATTTGAGGTGTATACAATTCAGTGCACTCACTATGGAAAGGGAGTGCTGAATTAATTAAGTTAAAAATCTGTTCAACTAGCTGATAAACCAGAGAACCTTCTCTTGGGAGTGGTATTTAAAAGATCTGGGAGCCTCCTTTTTTATTTTTTTGGGATAAAAAAACTCTTTTATTTAGCGAACTTAATTCTTGTGCAGGCGAAGAGAAGATGATGATAAATGGGAACATGATCTTTTTGAGGAGAATGAACCTCAAGTTTCAAGTATACAATGTTTATGTTGTTTTATCTTGCAAGAAATATTTCGTTGCTCTGTTTACTTATGTTATGTGCCTTTTATATTAAATTAATAGCCTGTTTAGACCGCAGAATTGGTGCGAAAGATCTTCGTTTAAAGCTTCAAAGAAAGAGCATTGAGCAAGCTTCCCAAACAAGGGGCTCAGTTTCAGGAGGTATGAGGGATCTGCGTGAGAAACTCTCGGGTTCATTATATTCTCGTCCAGGGGAAGCTAAGCCTTCACAGCCAAGGTCGAAGCCAGCTCTTGAAGTCAGTAAACCTACTAGGAAAAGTGTTGTAGCTGAAGCCACAGTGCCAGACAGCAGAAGAGTTACTGGCCCAGTTTCTGATAAAAAGAATCAGCTGAAGGCAGGATTGATACCATGTCTTCTCATATCATATATTTTATGATTTTCCCCCTCTCTTTTGATGTTTTTATTTTTTTATTTTTTTTTATTTTTTTTTTTTTTTGTGGGTGGGGGGGGGGGGGGGGGTGCTTGCATACTGGATTGCACCTGAGCAACTATGTCATTTGAAGTTATTTATTCACTACTAAAGGTAATGTCTTCAATGCAGGCAGAATCAGTGGATAATTTTCTGGAGTCCCTTGGTCTTGAGAAATATTCAATTACTTTCCAGGCTGAAGAGGTATGCAAATCCATTGTTTCAGTTTATGTATATTTGGGAAACTAAAGTCATTAAAGTTACTTATTTATACACTTTTGCTGTTTCTCACAGGTTGACATGATAACCCTAGTACATATGGTTGATGAAGACCTTAAAGCTTTGGGAATACCAATGGTGAGCGTTTAGACACTCCAATTATATTAATTTGTCTTTATTAACACTTGGCGTCACGACTAAGTTTGTTGCTTTTGTTTAGAATGATTTATTCCTTTTAATTGCGCAATGTTTGTTTTGCTTCTTCTCATTCATTTTCTTAGATGAAATATGCATTTGGCAATTTTACTTTTACCTCTATTTCCGAGCGTATCACTGCTAAGGTCTTGATGGCTAATGCTAAAAAATTGGTCACTCTTCAGCTATTTCCAAAAATTAATCTCTCCCTTCGCTTTCTTGTAAAAAATTCTTTTTGATTGTTCTCCCCGTCTTATTATATTTATACCATCCTTTCATTTTCTTCTGTTCTGATAAAGCTATGTTCTGCTGCTGACCATCTTCATTTGCTGAAAACTGAGTGGGAAGAGGTCGAATTTTGGACTAGGAAAATCGGGTGAAGGGAGATTTGATACCCTGGTTGGGTGGTTTCATTGGAAAGTGAACTGTCAAAGAAATTCTTTGGAAGGTTTTTGAGTCAAAGGGATCTTATATGAACTAGAATCATTAAGTCTCCATTTGGCAAACTTATAATGGTTTATAAAGGGGAAGAGTAGTGGGTTCCATGAAATGTGCGGATAATAAGGATAGGTAATTATGAATGTGGTTGAAATTAATGTTTGAGTTTCATTTATAAATTCGTATCCAAGTGGAGGCTAAATGAACAAGATATAAACTGGCTTGAGCTTCGTTGTCTAGTTAAGCAATGACCTTAGTTTGAGCCTTGAGGGTGTACGACTCTACACAATCATTGTTTATGAATAGTTTGGATTTAATGGATCTCCTAGGGAGTCTGTTATCTTCTCTTTTCACTTTGGGATTTATTGTCATGCTTGCCCGTTGTTGCACTTGTACATTTTTTGGCTGAGCTGCATAACAATTTAATTAACACTTGCATTCCTAGCAGCTATAGTCTATTTTCCCAATAATAATTTAAGTAAGAATGTGTGAAGGATTCTCGTAAATCTAAGTATGTAACCATGTTCGTTATACATGTGATTTCTTTTCAAGTAATAGTTGACTTACTTCTCTGTTTATCTTGAGTTATGGATGAGTATTTGGTTCAAAATGATCTTAAATGTGCTTAAGAAAATTAGTGAGGAGACACATTTGATATTATGTCATTATTTTAGTTATTTTTTTCTTTTTAATTGTTAATCTCCCTTTTTAACTAAAATAAGTAACTATGTTATTAATTATAAAATAACAACTGAACCAACATACGAACCATTGATATTGACGAAGTCAATTTTCTACAAACAAATTTTGCATGTTAAACATGGCTTTGCAATCAATCTATATAGCTAGAAAATATTAATGAAACCAGAATAATACTAGTAATCCTAATAAGAATAATAACATAGCAATGATAATAAGCCCGGCGAGGATTCCTAGTAATCTTAATCTCGGGTGTTCCTTGCCAATTGAAATATCTGATGCTAACCGGAGTAAGAATGACTGAACTTAGAATTATGTTCGAAATAGGCAAGATAGTTGAGAGAGTTTTATTGAATATGCTATTTTTCTCTTCTTCAACGAGCAAGTGACCTATATTTATGGAGCTACTTTTGCATGACGTACGTGCTTCTCATTACATAAGCAAAAATAGTATAATATTTCAGAGCTGATCTGGACAGTGTTTACTGACCTCTATGGCATACTTATATGGCATCAGTTGGTTTTATGTCAAGAAGTCACTTCCATTTCCATGCATTGCTAAATTTATTGTAAACTATTAATCTAATCTCATGGGTTGCTTCTATGGTTTCAGGGTCCAAGAAAGAAGATACTTCTAGCACTGGAG